CTCTTTTTGATGAAAGATAAATCTTATATCACCTGCTGTTGAAATTAGAGGTACATTTAGCTTTCAGTGTACTAGTCTAAGGCTTCATAATTACAAGCAGCAGGCACAATCAGTATCCTACTAGTGTCAACTGAAAAGTTTTTAGTTATGTTAATGAAGCCAGATTATGCCCTATCTGAACTAAGAGGTATTAAAGTCACATATCACTCATGTGTCAATTTTGTAAAACCAAATTTAAACCAAGGATGGTTTCTGTTCTTGGAATGTAGAGAAGTTAATTCCATAGATGAGGAAAATAACTATTGAATGCTGTAGACCTGTCTGTTTTGGGAGCTAATATTGAACACACAATGCAGCATACAATCAACAGATGTGAAACCAAGTGAGCAGCTAGGAGCATATGGTAGTGAAAATTCTGAAAGGCGCAGTAGATGGCTATAATTATAATTTTGAAAATGCAGTGGGAAACATTACAATATGCATGGACTTTCAGGTAAAGCCAGCAAATTGAGGGGAAATTCATAGTGCTACTTAGTGCTATCAAATCTCAATCCTGACATGATTTAAAAAGTAAGGATTTCCGTCTGCACACATGCCAGCCGAAACAGATGGTGACTTAATTCTACCTCCTGAAATATCTGTTAAGGAACTTCAACTTTGAGTGGGCTTCATAGGAAAATGTTGCTGGCAGTTCATATACTACTCCTTGGGCATTGAAAAGAAAATATGAGGAGGGTTACCGAAAATAGCATACTGTTACCTGGCTGGTTAGAATTGCGTTGGAACAGAGCCTGTGCACCTGCAATAGAGCCAAGGGGCAGACTTTACACATAATTCTTAAATTTGACTGAGAGAGGAATAGGAAGATTCTGGAGGCCACTTTTGCTGTCTATTGGCTGCATGTTGCCCACCCTTGATCTATGGCTGGCAGAGAACACCTCTGTCTACATGCCACCTTAGCTGAACTCTAGCTAAATATCTTATGTAATTTGGAACATGTTAATAAGGAATTCAGCTTTCAGGAGACATTTTGGGAACACTTAACCCATTTACCAGATAGGAAGTAATGTGGCTGCAGAGTTGTAATCTGAAGGAAACCTGAAAATCCATGGCAGAGAATACACAGCTTATGTAAAGCAGGTAAATCAATGAAATGTGTCAACCTAGACTATGACGCTAGGGAACCTGTGGCAGAGTTCAAAATATACATAGAGAAGGACACTATTCATATCTGTCTGGAAATCTTTTTAAACATGTATTTCGCCATACAACATTTCACCAAAGTGATGTAGAATAAGCATGGTCACCCCAAGAGTCTGAAAAAGTTACTTTTTTGGAGTGCAATTCTCATAATCTTCCAGATAGTACAGCCACCTCAAGGTCATCATCATCCACCACATGTTGCAGGGTAACTCCCTCCAGAGAGTAGCCTTTTCTACTCAAACAGGCCTAGAAGATTGCACAGAGACTTAATTCAACTGTTGGCCTCAGCTAGAGTAGATCCATAGAATCGGTGATTCTATGGATCTTCTTTAGCTGAAATTAATAAATGAATTATAGATGCAACAGAGCTGCCCTAGTTAGGATTAGCAACTGGATTTGGGCCATAGGAAACAAAATGCTTGAATAAAGCTATGGTGCTGACAGTATGTTTCACAAGCACCACATGTGCTGATGACTATCACACCTGCTTATTTCTGGATTTAGTAAGCATTGGAAGAATCATCCGGCATGACCACCTGCTGGACTGAACTTATCATTAATACCATTATTCACCATCAAGAGAGAAACAAAAGCTGATCCTTATGACATAGGCACAGTGCTTGCAATTTTATATTGTGCCCACCCCAACTCTCCAGTCCACAAAAACCAATATGTGAATATGTGTATGTATTTGTATGGAGGGGCGAAACTAAAAAAAAAAAATCTTAAAAAAGCAACCTAAAAAACCTCACATGTAAGAGCGAGAAAGTGTATGTATTTGTATGGAGGGGCAAGACTAAAAAAAAAATTAAAAAAAAAACACCCTAAAAAACCTCACATGTAAGAGCGAGAAATTAATGGCCAGATAAAAATAAGAAAAAGCTGGTTTTCACTCTCTGATACAAAAAAGCTAATAGGAGGAGAAGTTTCCTCAAGCCAGCTGAGTTTCTTTTCTTTTTTAATTTTTTTAAAAAATTCAAGCAAATACTGTACAACAATACAAAATACTTACAATTTAAAACAATCTAAATTCAAATATTTTCTATCCTATTTGGGGTAGATTTGTACTAGTGAAAGGAAAGGGGAAAGCCTCCAAACAACAACCAATAAAATTTTGGAAAGGAGATTCATAATTAAAGAAATACTCCAAAGGGTCCTATGGGTATGGGGGTGCCACTGTTGCTATGTAGGTTCATTAATCTCAGACAAAAGAATGCTAAGACACTCCTATACCTCATTAGTCAGAACTAAGTTCCGCTATGTTGATCAGGGCTTACTCTCAGATTTTATCAGACAAGTCTAATGATTATTAAAACTCTTGATTTTTAGCAGATGCAACTTCCTTATCCCTACAGATTACCTCCAGGAGAGACCTTTTCTATCTTCCAGGAAAATGTTAAGTCCAATTGTTAAATGGCTCTTGAGCCTGCGTAGTCGTCACTGCATTTATGTTGTTTTTCTTCCCAAATCCTTACCTCCTCCCCCATTTACAAAGCTAAACTACCCTTGCCATTTTCCTCCCAGATGCCTACATGTCCCCCAACCACACTATCCAATTGCACAGGGGATGGGATCTGTAGTCTAGTGCTGCCAGCAAGCACTGAACTGGCTGGAATTCTATAGAGAGGCATTTCTTATAGGTATTAAACAAACTGAACTGTCATAACAGTATGCCTTGCCACAGAACTTCATTTACTTGGCCCTTTTCTCCATCCACCTGGCTAACATAATGAGTATCAGGAATTAAAAATCACATCCATGTACGCTTGGGTGTGAGTTTCGCTGGAAGAATTACAGGAGATCTTCCTAATGGAAGCTTCTGTTTTCAGATATGCATTAATTCTGAGTACCAGGTACTTAGATACTCTTTCTCTCATGCAAAAGCATACACATTATTACTTGCCCTTGCTGACCTACATTATCTCTCTCATGTGTGCACTTATGCCCTATCATGTGCACAGTCCCCTTCTTGTGCTTGTACATGCTTGTGCACTCTTGCTGTTTCTCTCCTCACTTTCTTGGTATTCTTGTGCCCAGCTCTGCTGCACAATAGGAATTTAAGGCATATGCTTGAAGCATGTGCTCCAGCTCAAGGAAGTGCATGCTTATTTGCTTTTCCTTGCCATTCCTTTCCCCATGTTTGTTTTTCTTCTTCCTTGTGATATATTACAGCCATGGCCCTTACAATGAAAAGGTAATTCCTGCTCATTGCTCCAAATTGCAGAATGTAACGTATTCTAAAAGTAACTTCTTTTTGAAATGAGTTATTTCTTATCCCCAGGTAATACTATGGAAAAAAGAGAGAGGCAAAGTTTTGCAGGAGAGTATCATTAAATAATAAGAATGCCCATGCACACACACCATGTTTCTGAAAATTCCCCATTGGTTTATGTAACATGTTGTTTAGTTGCTAAGTCATGTCTGACTCTTCATGACCCCATGGACCAGAGTACGCCAGGACCTCCTATCTTCCACTGCCTCCCGGAGTTTGGTCTCATTTGGTCTCATTTGGTCTCATTCATCTTGGTAACTTTGATGACACTGTCCAACCATCTCATCTTCTGTCGTCCCCTTCTCCACTTGCCTTCACACTTTCCCAACATCAGGGTCTTTTCCAGGGAGCCTTCTCTTCTCATGAGATGGCCAAAGTATTGAACCCTCAGCTTCAGAATCTGTCCTTCCAGTGAGCAAGGGTTGATTTCCTTCAGAAAAGGTTTGTTCTCCTTGCAGTCCAAGAGACTTTCAAGAGTCTTCTCCAGCACCACAATTCAAAAGCATCAATTCTTTGGCGGTCAGCCTTCTTTATGGTCCAGCTCTCACTTCCATACATCGCTACTGAAAAACCACAGCTTTGACTATGCAGACCTTTGTCGGCAAGGTGATGTCTCTACTTTTTAAGATGCTGTCGAAGTTTGTGATTGCTTTCTTGCCAAGAAGCAGGCGTCTTTTAATTTTGTGGTTGCTGTCACTATCTGCAGTGATCATGGAGCCCAAGAAAGTAAAATCTGTCACTGCTTCCATATCTTCCCCTTCTATTTGCCAGGAGGTGATGGGACCAGTGGCCATGATCTTAGCTTTTTTTATGTTGAGCTTCAGACCATTTTTGGCTCTCTCTTCTTTCACCTTCATTACAAGATTATTTAATTCCTCCTCACTTTTTGCCATCAGAGTGGTATCATCTGCATATCTGAGATTGTTGATATTTCTTCCGGCAATCTGAATTCCAGCTTGGGATTCATCCAGTCCAGCCTTTCGAAAAGGGAAAGGGTATCACACTGAACAGAGAGTGAAGTGATTTCCAAATAGTCTGAAAATATAAACACATTCCCCCCCCCCTGCCCTGCTAATGGATTTTCAAGTGAACAGAATTGCTTTCATTTTATTTTAAAATAATTATTGTTAATTGCATACCTGGCCTTATTCACAGCAAAGGTTACAGCTAAGTATTAATACTGTAATCAACAAACCCTTCAATTTTAGGGACTATAAAATTAATACAGCAACAAAAAATTGTGAATTTTTTTGAAGGAAAGCATTTTTAAGAGAAACAGTGATTAAATGGGATAGAAATGATGTGGTTCTCAACAAAAAAACAATTTACTGAAACTGTGTAAATGGAAATGCAACAGGCAATTTGTTTTGATTTGAAGAGCTTCCACCTCAAGAGATTTATGCATGTGCAGATGTGTTATATTTAGATATTTTATTTTTCATCTTGCAATAATTCTTAAAACTTACCAATAAATCTACCACGACCTTTCTCTAGTAACATCTTTTTATTAATATCTCTTTGACAGGTACAAGATGCACATTGCATTGTGGAGGAAGAGGAGTGAGAAATAAAAGGCAGAATTGTCATTCTTTAGCTGACCTTTATTGGCTGTGTAATTTACTATATATACATTATACAAGAACTCGCTTACAAAGAATTAAGGGGTTCAAGAGTTTTGTGCATGCCATGATGAGTGCATTACTTATATATGGAGGAATACATAGACTGGAAAAACTTTATTATCATCTTATGGATTGATCAGAGACTGAGTGAAATGCATGAATTGGAAAGGTAAGATTTTTTACTCAGAACTCTAACTTATGCTGTTTCCTACAGCTTTGAGTGATAACTGTGCTGAAAAATTCTGCAGCCTTCTCATTCTGTTTGATGGGAAAGAGGTCGTTTTTCAAAAATGAAAGTTCAGAGAAGGAGAAAATGTTGTTGAAATTCTCATGGGTGGTGTACCAAAGTCTTCAATTGATTTTAATTATATTGTGGCTGGTAGTGTTGCTGGGTCACCTGCATCTCATTCCTTGAGAGTCTGGGCCAAAACCTGAGAGATCAGGGTGTCTTGTGATTTCACAAAGATGAGAGAAGCAAGGATGAGAACAGTTTCTGGCCCTTTAGATGGTGGAAACAGGCACAGTAGGAGTCTGACAATAGCCTTGTCCAGATATTCGATAAAAGAGCTAATCTTATCCTAGGAATAGAGGGAGTAGTCTAGCCCATCCCTTCTGTTCTGGCTCTCACATGCAGAGAGCTAAATATGAAGAGAAGAAGAGTCTCTGCATGTGAAGTATCGCCACACAATTGGGAATCCTGATTTTTCAGATTTTCTGATGTGCATGGAGACTGCTCTGCCCTTCAGATTTCACTCTCCAAATTCTAGAGCTGCTATAGAGTGGTAGCTTAGTCTTCTTGACAGTGAGTAAAACTGAATGACTTCAATAGGGTTTAGATGGGACCAGAGTTCAGGAAAAACCCATGTAAAAAGAAGTTACTTACCTGCAACTCTGGTTCTTCGAGTGGTCCTCTGTGAATTCACACGAATGGGTTAATCTGCACTCAAAGAGAGCAGTCTTCGGTAACTTCCACAGCTTAAGCACTTAGTGCTGGGAGCCTCCCCTACACCAGCTATATAACTCCACCTCCGGCACTAGTACCTCAGTTCTAAGGAACCGACCGCCAATGCCCAGCATGCTATGGCATACGTGACGGACAGCAGGGAGGAGAGTGGGACGTATGAATTCACAGAGGACCATTCAAAGAACCAGAGTTACAGGTAAATAACTTCTTTTTCTCCTTTGTGGCCTCTGTGAATACACACTAATGAGTGACTGGCAAGCTGACTAACCAGGAGGAGGGACATCACGAAAGTGCAGAAGCCAGGACAGCTCGACCTACCGCAGCCTCAGCCGTCGGCCAGACATCCAGGCAGTAGAGCGAGATGAGGAGGGGCGGAATGGCGCATGTGGCAATGCGGCAGGCATCCGCGATGTCCGCTCCACGGAGAAAGGCTGCTGAGGATGCCACAGCTCTAGTAGAGTGAGCTCTCACTGACTTTGGAAGAGGAGTCTCTGCCAAATCATAGGGAAAATGGATGGTCTTGACTAACCATCTAGAGATGGTCTGAGAGGAAGTCAGTGCTCTGAAGGAGGAGCCAGCAAGGTGACAAAGAGACACTGTGAGGCACGAAAAGTAGCCGTACTATCCACATAATGCAACGGAGCATGCTTCACGTCTAGAGCGTGCGAAGCTGTCTTAAGCAGTGAAGATGGCATGGGAAGGAAAACAGGAAGGACAGCTGGCTGGTTCAGATGGAAGGCAAAAAATACCTTAGGCAAGAAGGTAAAGCCTGGCTGTAAGGTTACCTTACAGAAAGGAGGACCCACTCCTTCAGTCAGTAGCCAGTCCTTCAGTCCTGCAAGCCAAGGTTATTGCCAGGAGAAAGGCAGCAAGCAGAGCAATGCTGATGCCAAGGACTTGAAGGGAGGCCTCATAAGCCACCAAAGAATTGACTGAAGAGACCACTGAGATGTTAGTGGTCTATAGGCAGGGCGTATATTCTCCAGGCCTCGGAGAAACAGCTTGCAGGTAGAACAGGCTGGTCCCAGGCAAAACAGGTGAAGGAGAAACTGAAGAAATGCATCCAGAGACATTGGCCTAGTAGGCAAATGTCTTGATGCAAAGTGACAGAACGCCTACTCAATATAGGAGTAGGTCAAGGTGGTAGAAGGTTTGCAAGCATGATTGAGCATGTCTGTTACAGTTGGGGAAGACTCCATGCGGACAGGTAGGGGGACTCGAGGTTCGGATGAAATATCCAATTCTCATCCCAAGAAAGCAGATGAGGGACCAGATGCAGCCTGATGTATTCCACAGTTCAGGGGAGCAGAATCAAAACCATGGCTAGCGAGGCGACCAAGTGTGATGTTTGTACACTCATGGTGGACACAAACAGCAGTCTTTTGAAGAAGGGCAAAGGTGAAAACCTGTAAAAGAGGCCCCGAGACCAAATTGTCAGGAAGGCGTCTCCTAGGGCGCTGCGGCCAATGCCAGCTCGGGAGCTGAAAATGGTACACTTCTTATTTAATCAGGATGCAAAACGTCTATGTCTGGAGTCCCCCATCGATGACAGAAGCAGTGAAAGGTGGCATTATAAGGAGCCAGTCTGCTGAAATGGACTGCCACAGAATCATTTCTGCCTGCCAAATGTTCAGCCACTGGACAAATGTGACAAGCATAACACCATTCTGAAAGGTTGATGGTGAGAACAAGAAGGTGTAATGAATGAGCCCCACCCTGCTTGTGTATATAATAAGCTGCCGTGGTATTGTCTGATGCGACCTGGACCACCCGACCCCGGAGTAGGGGCTCAGAGGCCCAAAAGGCCTTGGTGTTTGCCAGGAGCTCCAGCACAATGATATGAAGGCCAGCTACCAGCGGCCAAGGGCAATGGGGTGGCGCAGACAAGCCTGCCTGCCAGGCAGGCTGGCATCCACCACTGACTGAACCAACCGGATCATGACCAAAGGGTCTCCCTATGTGTAGGTTGGTGGGGATCCCCACCAGTCCAGTTATGCACTGGGGGGGAATCCCCACCAGTCCAGTTATGTACCGAGTTCCGGAGTCACCTGCAGCAACATGGATGGGTGGTCACAAGATATCTGAAAAAGTGAGATAAACCATGCTTATAGATCACATCCTCAGTTGAGCATGCTGTCTAGATGCCATCAGCTGGGAGTGGGCTTAAAACCACTTGTCATTCAAAAATTAAACTTTATCTGTCAGTGCTAGTTACACTGAAGGTTGTTGCTCTGTTTAGAGCCCTGGAGAAACACAGTAACATCCAGAGTCTTCAGGCAGCAGCTGACTAGGGTGCTGAGCTATTGAGCTCGTACTAAACTAAATTATCTGTTTAAATACAGCAAATATAAATGGTCCATTGCAAGAATAGTTGTCTGGTTTCAGTTCTAGTTATGAGATTGTTTGGATTCTGTTCTACAGGTCCCAGGCCTAGACCTGCAACCTCAGGATTCTTGCTGCCATCTCACAACCCATATTCTGTGGCTCATTGTCATGACTTCAGGAGTTGCTATTTGGACATGACCAGAAAGACCCTTGCCCCTTTTATTATCCTGCATGCTCTAGAGTGGGATTCCCAGTATGGTGTAGTGGATAGAGTGACGGATTAGGACTCCGTGGAACAGGTTTGAATCCCCACTTAGTCATAGAAACTGACTGGGGGAGTGGAACTGGTGAAACCATTCCTTAAATATCTCACTTACCTTGAAAGCCTTATTAGGGTCACTGTAAGTCAGTTCTGATTCAACAACACGAAACACACAAACACATTCTCTAGAGCTGGTCTTACACTGGTCTTTAACTTCATCATAGGGTCTCAACATTGTCTCTCACACATGCCATTTTGCAATTCTTATTGAAAGGCCCACGCACCACAAGATCACAAAGAAATATCCTATGTTACATCAGAAGAACTTATACCTGGATCTCAGAATTTGAGTCTAACATTTCAGAAAATGGAATGCCACTGATCAGGCAACCCAAACAGAAAGAAGTCTTCAGATTTCCCAGTATGTAGAGTAGCAGTACTCCACTGCCATTCTGTACCTCTGTAATATATCACCAGATACGTTAAGGAAGTGTAACATGTGCCCAAACTGGAATACAGTAAGACTAATTACTCTCATCATGGACACAGTGAACTAGGCTCAGGAAACAACTTGGAGGGGAAAAGAAAACCTTGCTGGATTTTGTGTCACCTCGCCTCTAGCATGAAGAAAAATGTTTAAAAATGGACAAGAAGGTTTTGCCTCCATATCCTGGCCTGAAGGTTTAAGGTACACCTGAGAGTTGTCATAAAAAGGTAGTGAGAATCTCATTCTTCTGTTTTATAAATCACATTCTACTGGAATATAAAACAAGGAGGCAAAAATGTCAAGTTACTGGCATACGAAATAGAGGTGTATCCTCAGTTAGCTAACAAGTTGCAACACTGAAAAACTCTTAAAATAAAACTTGCCTCCTTTCTATTTAGCAGCCCTCCAGAAAACATTGCTTCTCTCTTTAGCCCAGGGTTCTTGAGCCAGGGTTGGTGCTGAAGGGCAAAACTAGACCTCTGTTCTTATGTTAAAGCTCTAAAGTAGTTAAGATCAAATGAATAGAGAACAGAGGCATGCTCCTGGACTATGCTCACATTCATGTTGTTTGCCCTGCCAATGCATGGGAGGAGAAATCGCACAATGGGAATGTTAATTTATTATTCATTCATTTATTTTAAATATTTAGACCCTGTCTTTCTCCTCAAGGGAACCCACAGCAGTTTACAATATTAAAACAAACAAAAGAAGCTAAAAAAAACCCCACGAGAAATTGTTACAATATTAAAAAGGATAAAACAGATATATACAACTAAGGTCTGATTTTTTGGTTAAAAAGTGTGTCTACCAATGAAGACGTTTAAAGCAGCTTGATACCAATTTGCCATTGCTCCATGCAACAGAATCTCCATATTTATAGTTTGATATAATTAGAATTGTCTGCAAAAGAACTTTAGTGTTGTTGTTCAGAAGAGTCCACTAGAGCTCTCTAGAGAGATGTCTAAGGTTGACATAACACTGCACAGTTCGGGGTTTAAGTAGCGTAATTGTTTCATTATAATTTCTGACCTATTGGACTGTAACTCCATAATCCCTCACTGTCAGGTTGGATCTAGAAAGCCATATATTTTCCACCCCCATATTGAAGGCATCATCAGTGGAGGTTTCTGTGATTGCTTTGCCCTTTCCCTGAGACCAAGTGGAACAAATTCCCCACCTTTTCCATATACCCATCAAGGAAAATTGATTCCCAATAAATAATGAACCAAAATTATTTAAAGTTAGGAGTTTGAACAAACACACACATTAGTGTGTCTACTAATATCAGTACAGTATGTTACTTCCTCAGTAATTAGGGGTCAACCCCCAGGTGACAAGGAGGCAAAGTAAGGGAAAAACTGAAGTCTTCAAGCAAACAATTGTGCCCTGTATTCATCAGTACATTAAGCTTGACAAAACAGAATTATTCAAGCTTTTACAACTCAATCAGGATGGCTTCTGGGATGATAGATTTGGTGGTCATATTAAGGTCAGTGAGTGCAGGAATTTTTCAGCTCCTCTACATGAGCTTCCCTATTTATTCTAGATGATGAAGAAGCCCACTATAATAATGGACTATTGAAAGACTTCCGAAAAATGCTGATTTAGACAAGCTTTACTGTACACATTGATTTAGATAAAAGGTTTCATTAACCACAGTTTCATTGTATTGAAATGTGTGGCACATTTTACCAGATATCAGTACAGATTCCATTACTTGCACGACATGTATATCAATCATTCTAATGTTGCAGCTCTTCATATTCAAAGAACTTTTAAAACATTCAATTAATTTTCAAAACTCCAGAGAGATGAAGGTGGTGAGGTAAATGAGGAAATTCTACTTGGCAACTTGAATCCTGGGGTATGAGAATTAAGGAACATGTTATTACCTTTAAATTATAATAGATAGTGCTATAGGCCACAAGGTATCTGTTCAAAGCTGCACAGATGTTTCAGAATGCCTTAAGATACAGCTCTCGCTGAAAGAGCATATCTTAGGACAGAATTTCCAACAGACAGTTTCTCTGTTGATGCTTGGGAATGGAGTGTGAGAGAGCTTGGAAAAGTTGCTGTTTTGACTACCGCTTCTAGGCATGCTGGCTGGAGAAGTCTAGGAACTGTAGCTCTGAAAACTTTTTTCCAGCTTCAGTGTGTAGGTCCTTTGCTGGAGAGAAAGGTCCTAAATGTGGTTGTTCTCTCTCTCTCTCTCTCTCTCACTCACACACACACACACAGAGAGAGAGAGAGAGAGAGAGAGAGAGAGAGAGAGAGAGAGAGAGAGAGAGAGAGAGAGAGAGAGAGAGAGAGAGAGAGAGAGAGAGAGAGAGAGAGAGAGAGAGAGAGAGAGAGAGAGAGAGAGAGAGATATCCCATGTGTGCAGTAAAGCTTGTCTAAATCACCATTTTAACAGTACAGGGCAATGTAACAAAGGCAGAGGTCAATCTCATATATATCCAGTCAGATATAGGCTCCATTAAATTGAATAGCTTACTTACAGTTATAGGACTGAAGCCTTATTTCATTCACTTATATCTCATCCCTTGGTATTCAAAGTGGCTTATAAGTGAAATTCTGTGAATGTATGTGCACACACAGACACACACCCCTTTTATATATGAATATACATATTAATTTTATATATCATTTACAAACAAATAATAAATAAATAACAAATAAAAATAAAATAAACATTTTTATATTGCATACATACACACACATGTATATAATTTTACATATGTAAGGATATACGCTTGAATTTAGCCAAAAGGGTGAGAAGTTGGAGTTCTTTGATAGCAGAGTGAGTTTTCCCTGGTTTTGGATATTCATGATATAAATTTTACATGCTAACTGGATACAGTGTTTGACATAATGTGAATTGCATGTTCTGTTTTGTTCCATACTGTACAACATCTTTGGTGCAGGTCACTGACTACAAAAAATTCAATTCAATCCAATCAAATTCAGTTCAATTCATTTTTATTCCCACACTGTTTAAATTCTTTATGGCAAGGAATGGATTGTGCTTGGCACTTTTCACTTGCAAAATCTGTGCTCCGCTACTGAGCTACAATTCTCTATTATGGTGCCTTTTCTTTATTAAAATTATTTGAAATTTAACAAAAGAACACATCAACCTACTGTGGAGCCTGTGATTGTTGAAGAAGAGCAATTATTCTGAAGATCAGTAATTAGGCAATA